GCAGGAATTGGCTGGTCTAAGCGTCGCAACTTCGATTGCTGAGGTAATCACCGATCCCTTTTAGAAATTACACACTGCTCGAACAAATATGTCATTATCATAATCTTTTGTTTCGCCAGTCTGACCAAGAAGATAGTGCTAGTATGAGAACCCACCAAACAGATTCCTTTTCTTGCTATGTACACTGCTTATCAAGTTTACAATATTTTCCAGGTTTATAAACCGACAGAATATAACCGGGTTCTAGCAATTTGTGGTCCTGGAAACAATGGTGGTGATGGTCTGGTCGCCGCCAGGCATCTTCACCACTTTGGATATAAACCATCTATCTCTTATCCTAAACGTACAGCCAAATCACTTTATACTGGACTAGTCACTCAGGTTTGTAACCACTGCTTCATTTCTTAGCTTTTTTCTCTTTCTTTACTGCCTCCTGAAAATTCTCTCTTTCTGCAGCTCGAGTCACTTTCACTTCCTTTTGTGTCCGTCGATGATCTGCCGGAGGATTTGTCAAAGGACTTTGATGTTATTGTAGATGCAATTTTTGGGTTTTCATTTCATGGTAACTCCCTATATCACTAGAATTCTTCAAACCGTATGTAAAGTTTAAGAAGCAAATTTGTTTTGTTTTGTTTTGAATACCGGGTTCGTTGATACTTCAGCTATGCTCCTATTTTCTTTTGCGTCATGTTTCCATTGCTTTTTGAAGTCAGTGACTTGCACATGTAGGTGCTCCAAGGCCTCCTTTTGATGACCTCATTCGGACATTGGTGTCCTTGAAGAACTATGAGCAGAGGCTCCAAAAACAACCAGTCCTTGTCTCCGTGGATATTCCCTCTGGTTGGCACGTTGAAGAAGGAGACAATGAAGGTGGAGGAATTAAGCCTGATATGTTGGTATGCCTTGGCAGAATTGCTTGCACTACTCTTTTTTCTTTGAATCATTTGTTACTATCATCATACACTTAAGGAAAACTACTTTATTAATTGAACCTTTTTAACTCTTTTTTAGGTATCTTTGACTGCCCCAAAATTATGTGCCAAGAGATTTTGTGGCCCTCATCACTTTTTAGGTGGGAGATTTGTACCACCTTCTGTTGTAGAAAAATATAAGCTCAAGCTTCCTAGTTACCCTGGGACATCAATGTGTGTTAGAATTGGAAAACCTCCGCAAGTTGACATATCTGCGATGAGAGTAAACTATGTCTCTCCAGAGTTGCTTGAGGACCAGGTTGAAACTGATCCTACTTTACAGGTATGAATTCATTTCTTTGCTGTTGCTTATACGTATTGTTCGGCCTTCTACAATCACGTGTCATGAATTAGCAGAAAGTTATATTGCTCCCAGAAAATAAGAATTAAGCGTCTTTGTTGCACTACAGTCATTTTTATTTCTGATGTAGTAATACTCCTTTTTCAATTTCGCTCATTTTAATGGCTTTTCAATCACTCGTTCTGCTTGATTACTCACTGCTAAGCTATTGTGGTTGCCTACTAGAGATAAGGCATCCTTTTTGCTAAGATAATTCATTCTTCTTTTGCAGTTCCGGAAATGGTTTGATGAGGCAGTTGCTGCTGGATTGAGAGAAACAAATGCTATGGCTTTGTCTACGACGAGCAAGGACAGAAAACCGTAAGTGTACTTTGATGTTTCAAGAGATTTCACTCCGTGGAACAATACGTTGATGAACCATGTTCCAAAAGCTTTTCTATGTCCATATCTCTTGGATGTCAGAGTTATCTACTGTATTATAAAGGTGGAACTTAATATAGCTTTCTGCAATAGGATGAGATGCAACCAGCTATGATTATTTGATCCTGTTGTTGTACAAACAGTGCATGTGATACAAAAAGTGCATGTGATACAAAAGTGCGCCTCAGGTTTCCAGTTTGCTGCATGATATGCAGTTTCTAACATGTTTTTATTTTTGTTCCACTCTTTTTGAAGTGGTTATAAATATATATGTGACTGTCTCTGCACGCGCCTATCTGAACATCGGTGATCTCAGTTAATGTTTTGAGCACAACTTAAGCTGTATCAATCGATAGACCATGCACAAATTTTTATCGGGCATAAGATTGCCTGTTTACTTTCTTTCTCATTATATTTTTTTATGAGCGTGATTCTGCTGCAGATCATCAAGAATGGTTTTACTAAAAGGATTTGATGAGAATGGATTTGTCTGGTTAGTAACATCCCTCCTTTTTCTGCTGAGAAAATTGGGGTATGAAGATCTCTGTGTGCAACCTGATGTACTTTATTAAATTGTAAAATGCAGGTTCACTAACTACGAAAGTAAAAAGGGTTCTGATTTATCAGATAATCCCTGTGCAGCACTTCTTTTTTACTGGGAAAGTTTGAATCGGCAGGTGTGTGTTTACATCTTCCTTAATCTTGTGTTCTAGCTGACCTTTGGCAATCTGCTTGTAGTATTATACTCTGGTCTGCAAAGTCCGATGCGCAAGAATTAGTAACTTGGTTACTGAATATATTTTAGCAGTACTTATATCCGTTCTCACTGTACCAAACAGGTAAGAATTGAAGGGCCAGTGGAGAGAATACCTGAGGCTGAATCCGAGAATTACTTTCATAGCCGTCCTAGAGGAAGTCAGATCGGAGCCATTGTTAGCAAGCAGGTGCCTATGTGATCTTTTGCATTTATCAAAATATTCTCATATGACGTTAAGAATTTGCTTTAGACCCTAACCCTTCAAGTTTTGGTTTCTAACAGAGCTCTGTAGTACCTGGTAGGCATGTTCTATATGAGGAGTATGAAGAACTGACAAAAAAGTATTCGGATGGGTGAGTTCTAAACTCTTTGACCTTTAAAAAGAAAATCATTTTGATTTGATGTTCTTGATTGATGACTAAGTAAGTACGGAGCCATGACTCGTTGTTTTTGGCTTGCAGAAGTGTGATACCAAAGCCGAAAAACTGGGGAGGATTCAGACTTAAACCAAACCTTTTCGAGTTTTGGCAGGGACAGCCATCTCGTTTGCATGACAGGTGCCTCCAATCTTTGACCTAAATCAGGTTTATGTAGCGTTAATGTAATTTCGGGGGAGAAATCATTGAAGGGCATGTTTCTAGAAATAGCTTGAAATTTGAGGAGCACAAAGAGGAAAATGATCTCTTAATTAGGCTTAGAACACAGAAAAGTAGCCATGGCCACAATGTTTGCTAACGTATGATTATGGAACACAGGCTGCAGTATTCTCTGGAAGACGTAAACGGGAATTCTGCATGGAAAGTTCATAGATTGGCCCCATGACTTTACTGAAGAAGATGGTATGATGGCTGTTTTGGGTTTCATATCAACCACTACATAATGAGAATAAGATTTGTACGTATAGCCGCCGTTCGTGCACTGAACAATGTGGCTCTTGTGCTTGATAACCAAAACAATTGTCACGTAGAACTGTTACTGCTATTTAGTAATGACTATGTAGTTACAAGTGATGGAGTATAACTCATAGATTTGTGACGAGTTGAGAATAAGGAGAATGAAAGATGGATTAATGGCAGTGTTCCAGAAATCAGAAATGAGTCTCACAGCGGAAGGCAATCATACTTGACCAATGTCCTCTGATCGAAAAGTGAATGCTCGCAGGAAAAGCAGACTATTGCAAAGTTTCCCCTCGCTGGACCAGCTACATAA